TGCATTTACAGGGCCCTGGTGGGGGTGGAGTTCTCGAGGTGCCTCCCTGGGTGAGAGGGAGGGGCTGGGTCTGTTGGGGTCTCAGTGCGGGGAGGGAGGGGCTGGCTCTATAGGGACCTCAGCAGAGGTGGGGCTTCCATAGCAACCCCTTTGCAGACTGTGCCCCTTAGCGGGGAAGGCGCTGGAGAGGGCGGCACAGGCGCTGCAGGTATGGGGCTGGCCAGAAGGATGCTCCTAGAGGGGCTTATGTAGGATCGGAGCCCCTTTTCCCTCCGCTCCCATGCAGAGGAAACATCTAGTCACGCTGGCACCCTTTTCTTCCCTGCCCCTAGGATCTGCTGTGCTTGCCTGTGGGTCATGCTGCTGCTGCTGCTGCCGGTACTGAGCGCCCTGGCCTCCGCCGTGGAGGTCAAGCGACCCCGGGGCGTCTCTTTGACCAGTACGTTACCAGGATCCGCCACAGAGTCTGATACTGAATTGGGTGGCTGGCCCTTTGAAACATGCTTGGGGGCGTAGCTCCTTAAAGGGAAATCCCCTAGGTCAGCTCACTGGGAGCTGAGTGTCTCCTAGTTCTGCATTGCAATAGCTCCATGCACCTCCACCATCGCCTGGAGGCTCTCGACCTTTGAGGACTTTCCAGGCTCCCTAATCCCCCTGCAAGGCAGGAAGAGATTTTTAACCAGATGGGGAAACGGAGGTACGGAGTGGGAGTGGGACGTACCCCCATTACGCTGGGAAATCAGGGTCACAGCCAGCACTAGAGTCCAGGAGTCCTGAATTACCACCACCACCTTTAATCTCTAGGCCCGACACCCCTCCCAGAACTGGGACTAGAACCAGGAGTCCCAGCTGCACAGTTCTGTTTGAGAGTCATTTTAGGGCCTGGGGGATGACAGCAGGCCGGTTGCCTTCCCTGTGTTTCCAGAGAGAAGTGAAAGCTGGTCGTTAAAATTGAGGCTTGGGTGGAGATGGCAGGGCTGATGGGTGGTAGATTGGCCTGGTACTTAGAGCCATGGGCCTGGAACCAGGAAGCAACCCTGGTTCGTAGTGACCTGAGACACTGGCCTAGTGGTGGCTCTTCCTCCAGGCTCATTGGGTGGGTGTCTGGAGTAGGGATGTAAAAACCCAACCGGCTAAACAGTTAACTGGGATTCCACGGGTGCAGCAGGCCCGGCCGGGGTGGAGCAGTAGGTATAACGTGGGTGAGGGGCTGCCCAGCCCAGCCCTGCCACACCATGCTGCGGGGCGCTGCTCAGGCCGGGCCCCTGGGTTGCCCAACCTAGTCTGGAGGGAGCCCAGAAATCCCCATGGACTCCCCCTCCCTGCCCTGTAACATCTCTGGTTCTGCCCTTCCCAGACCATCACTTCTATGAGGAATCGAAGCCGTTCACCTGCCTGGACGGGTCCTCGACCATCGCCTTCGACTGGGTGAATGACGATTACTGCGACTGTCAGGATGGCTCCGACGAGCCAGGTGGGTGATGGGCCAGAGCGCCCCCTGCTGGGATGGAAGCAGCCGGCCCCCGCGAGCTGCTGCGTTGGCATGGGGCCATATCTGTCGAGGCAGGTCCTACTTGAAATGGCAGGGAGCAGGGCGGGAGAGGGTGTGAGGCAGCTGTGGGGCGGGATCCTGATGAGAGGCATGAAGCAGGGAGGGAGGGGGTGTCATTCGCCCCTGTCAAGCTGCAGTTCTCATCTAGTCCATGCCTTGCCATCGCCCCGCTGGTGGCACCTTGGTCCCTTGCCGGTGGCTCGCAGAGCCCAAAATGCCTGGCTCTGGCTGAAATCCTGGGGCTGGTCTCCGGCCCGTGCTGGTCAGAACAACAAGCCAGCTGATTCCTTCTGGCCGTCAGTGCTCTTGCATCGACCTTGCTGTGTCCTCGCTACCTTTGCACTCGGAGGTTGTGCTAGGCGCTCCCCGCGGTTGGGCTGCTTGGGGCGGGATCTTTCCCAGAGAACCGGGGGAGAATCTGCCCTTTGGCTCGGGGAGGCAGTCGTGGGAGGCCTTCACCCCCTGCAGCGGGGCCGCAGAGCGGTTGGGCTGGCAGGGGCAGCGGCGGGTGGTGTGTGCGCGTAGTCGGGACGCGGGCTGCGCTGGCAGCGAAGCCCGGCCTTGCAGAGCCCGTGGAGCTCTCTTGCCGTGCACCCGGGCAGTTGCCCACGGCAGATCTGTTTTCTGTTGCGTGTCTCAGGGACCTCGGCTTGCCCCAACGGCCGCTTCCACTGCACCAATGCCGGCTACCGCCCGCAGTACATCCCCTCCTCCCGCGTCAACGACGGCGTCTGCGGTAAGCCGGGCCTCCCCGCGCGGGGCCGGGGGCGCTCTGCCTGAGAGCGCCTGAGTGCGCAGGGCTGGGCCGTGACGGCCCCTCTTCTCTCCCTTTCAGATTGCTGCGACGCCACGGACGAGTACAACAGCGGCTTCGTATGCGAGAACACCTGCAAGTAAGGGCGGCCCCGGCCCCGGCTATGAGGATGGGACTGGCTCGGGGGGGCAGGGAGTGGAACATGGGGCCCGGCTCTGATCTGCCCTTGGAGGGGAGGGGGGCGATGGGGCCTTTCCTCTCTGGGGCTCTGTCTCCAGTTGCATTGCCCCCTCTGTTTAGTGCCTTGTCCTGGGAGGGCTCAGTCCGTTACCCAGCATGCAGCAGAAATCTCCCCTTCCCTGCTGGCACCCCACATCTCAGCAAAGCAGCCCTGGGGCAGTGGGGCCCTGCTGGGTGGCTCTGGGGGTGGCTCCTGCTTCATGGCCCGGGGTGAGGGAGCAGGCCCAGCTCTGAGGTGAGAACTTGGCTCTTCACCCCGTCCGCTCCTGAGGGAGGCTTAAAACCCTGGCCCCTGACAGGACCCTTCCCTGCCCCAGCCTGGAGCCTCCCACCTGCCAGCTCCGCCCGTGATCACATGGGGCCGCTCTCTGCCCCTCTCCGGGGGCTGGGCCCATTTC